CCCCCCTGGAACCCTGGCCTTCTGCGCTGAAGGATTCACTGGCCCCGTCCGGAATCGCGCCTTCTGTGCAGAGGTGCTTCCCAGGCCACTAGGGGGCGCCTTCTGTGGAGGTGGTCAAGTGGACCAGAGGGTGGAGCTCACGTGAGAAGGAAGAGACACACGGAGACAGAGAGCCAGGCTGTTCACGCGTGTTCAGATCTGGGTGCATGGGAGGATGGGCCGTGTCAGTGGCTGGGGACCGAGGGGCTGTGGAGGACACTGGGAGAATCCATTGTTGGGTTTTGGCAGGCCAATGACACGATCAGAGGGAAAACTCATATTGTGTGAAGCTCGACTCCGTGTCGGCCGATGGCGTCGCTCTTTCCTCGGTGACGTGAGGGCTGTGTGACTAATGTGCCCCTGAGGGCTGTGGAAGCAGTGGTGGGAGCCAGCCCTGGCAGGGTGAGTGGGACGGGTTGATGGGACGCAGGCAGCAGCTCAGAGGGCGGGAGATGATGAAGCTGAAGAACAGGCAGGTTCCAGGGAACCCGCCAGGATCCAGGAAGCAGGAGCCCCTGGGCACTCCCTCTGGGTAGCCCTCCAGGGTGGCATGTCCCCAACCCTGTGCTGCTTCTGCATTTGTATTGCCAGAGATGGCCCCGGGTGACTGTCTCCTGACTGACACCGGTCCCAGAGCTTCCTGCCAGACGGCGCGTCCTCGATGCCGTCAGCACACGGTGACAGAGGGAAGCCGTCGTCTGCCAGGTCCACCTAATGGGCTAACAGGCTTTGCCCAGTCCCCTGGCCCTTCCAGTCCCCCAGCTCCAGCCTTTTGGGCCTGGGGAAGAGGGACCCCTGTCCAGGGCCTGTGCCGTCAGGGGGCCCCTTTACCCAAATCACCGGAGCACAGGGACTTTGTGTTTGGTTTGTGAGGAAGCATTTTGCATGTCTGACACCTGTTAGAGCGAATGGGCCTTCAGGGCTGGGGGGGGACACGGCTGGGGCTCCCCAGGCCAGAGTGCGGGACAGAGGGCACTCAGGGTGGGTAAGGGGGCCGTGAGAGGCCCTATCTGGGCATTGGAGCCAACGAGGGTGCCCTTGTAAAAGGCTGCCCCGAGTCAGGGTCCCCAGGTGAGCGCGCTCCTTCCTGCCCTCTGCACCTCTGGTGTGACCTGGGGACAGGAAGTCCCGAGTCAGCAGCAGCACACCTGCACACTGACCCCTGGAGCTTGCCCAGGTCAGCCCTGCCCCAGGTCCAGGCGGGACCAGTTGCCTCCCTCTCCCCCAGCTTCTGCTGAGCTGCCCCAGCAAGTCCTTTCTGCTACTCAGGCTGTCGGTGGCCGGGGAGGGGACAGCCTGTCTCCTTCACCTCCAGGTTCTCCAAGAGGGCGCGTCTTGGGGAACGAGTTTTGGTCCCCGGGTGTATCTGGGTTGTCATTTTCAATGTTTAGGGGCACAGGATGAGGGGCTCCATTTGTGTCCTTGTCCTGGGCTCAGCAAAAATGGAAGCACCTCCGTGACCACACTGTGGCTGGGATGGAACGCACGGGTGTGAAGAGGACGTCCTCGGGGCAGCCGTTCAGCCCTGGCCTCTGTACGGGCGACAGCGTCACTAAGCTCATTAAGCCACATGACAAGGGACCGAGGGTTTGGGAAGGAATTGAGCTGGGGTGAATTTCTGCTGCCATGGTGCAGTCAGCCACGGAGCTCCCACGCTAACACTCCCCGCAGGCTCCCAGCCCGAACCCGCCCAGACAGGAAGAGCACCCAGGAGCCGGGGCACAAGAGGCTAAGGCGTCCTGAAACGGGTGCTGGCGGACAGAGGGCTCGCCTTTGAAAGCTGAAAGCAGGATATGGGAGTCTTTTGTTTTTCTAAGCACCAGAAGCGACCATTATTCTAAAATCCTGAGCCAAATCAGAAATGCATTAAAAAAAAAAAAATCAAGTTCCCCAAAGGAAAACGGCTTCCCGTAGCACTTCAGAGCGAATGTCTGCTCTCCCAATCACGGCAGCAGGTCCAGCCCGAGCATCCGATCCACATCCTCTGAACTCGTCTGAGGATCGATGGGTGAGGTGGGCTGGGCCTCTTCCTGTCCCTCGGCGGCGTCTCTGTTGCAAGTCTGCTCGGGACTTGGCTCCAGGTTGGGAAGGGAAAGAGCCCTGAGACTTGTGGTTCCCCTTCCTGGGGGAGGGGACGGGGAGGGTGGCGTCTTCCCCCCAGTGATGATGGATGGGTCGGGCAGGGGACCGACCTGCTGACGTCATGGTCCACGGTGGTCCTGATCCCTCAACCCTCGGAAAAGACCCAGAGCTTCCAAGGGATCTGGGCTGCGGTCCCCCGGCTTTCAAGTTCCCAGAGCTGGGGGGCAGCGGGACTGCCAGGGTGCTCGGTCCGCGCTGGTGATCACGAGGCGGAGCTCTGAGCCCCTCCCCTACAGCCGGCCTGGTGGCTGTGTGACAGGAAAGCCGTCCCAGCCACACTCTGGCCCCTGGGCAGCCACGTCTCGGCACTCAGCTCAGATAGAGGCGCACCTGGGTCCAGAAACCCAGCAGGTCCCCGCTCTGCCCCATGGGCTCCCTGCCTCAGTTTCCCTCCTGCACGGAAGAAACAACAGCTCCGTGTGAATGGCACTTGCCCTGAAGCACCTTCCTTGATGGCCCTGTGACGGGGCTTCTCTTTGCTCCCATTTTTCTCTCTGTGCTGTGGTTCACGGGTGGCTTTGCCCCAGGGGTCTGGGTCAGAGGCCTGAGTCTCACTGCGGTGTGTTGAGGTGGTGGCCCTTTAAGAGGCGGAGACTAGTGGGGGCCTCTGGGGTCGCTGCCCTGGAAGGGGTTAGAGTAATTGGTTCTCATAGGACCCTGATTAGTTTTCTTGAGAGCCCCGTTTATAAAAAAAAACGAGTCCATCCCTCTCCTTGCTCTGACTTCCTAACTGGTGATGTGATCCCTCCCTCTTGCACACACACTTATCGTCATATTGCTGGTTGCTACAAGGTCCTCGAGCTGCTGGGATGCCCTTGAACCTTCAGAATTAGGACCTAAATAAACCTCTTTTCTTTGTAAGTTATCTAACCTCAGCTATTTTGTTATAGTAATAGAAAATGGACTGATACACCTGTTACTAGGTGATCAGTACATGGCCCTGTTTATTTTTCTCCATATTACAAAAAAACACTATTTCTTTCCCCGCAAACGCACAAAGAATGTCAGGTTCATGAGCTCGGGGACTTCTCTCTTGCCCACCTTTGTTGTTCTACAGTCTTGCGACCAGCGCAGCCAAACTTGCGGTTCCGGCCAGGGACGATGGGGGGTTAGAAAAATAAAGACTCACACCTGCAGGTTTTGAAGATGAAGCTGGGATCAGGTGGAGGGCTGCTCTCTGATAGAGAAGCAGATCTAAAGAGTCACGCCAGCAATCTCTATGTGTCTCCATATCAGGTTAAAGACCTTGCAAGCGTTATTCTTTTATGCAGGAAAGTTACAGAACTAGAAGCATGTTCTCAAAAGAGGAACAATTTCCAAGTGTGGACATTGGGGACAAAGACCCTGTAAGTGTCATCTATCCTACCAACCTCCCTCCATATGGAACTCTGTCTTAGAGACCGGGGTGTCACAGCTTTGTCTATTCAGTTGATCTTGGCGAAGGGCTTTTTAGAAATGAGAAACATCTTCATCTAAGGGTTGCTGATGCTTGCCGAAGGTAGGCGGTGTTCTCACCTGTGTTTCCAAACCTGTCGGTCCCAAGTGCCCGTCAAGAAATACAACTGAGAGTCTTCTCAGAACCCACTGGGTCGCTTTTTAAAATTTAGATTCTCGATGGAGGCTAGGAAAAGAGAGTGGTGGTGAGCAGCTGGAACTCTGTGGGTGTAGGCCGCAGGGGCAGGCTGAGAGAGCGCCTGCAGACAGACGGGAAGAAGAAAAGTTGAGTGTAAACAAGACCATATTTTGAGCCATAATAGAAGAAGCAGTTGGTGAGCCAGTGAGAGAGCAGGACACGTGGATCCAGGTGATAGAGGACATTCCCAAGGTCAAGAACTGCACAGGGATCGGAGGCTCTGGATTCCTGGGGCAGCACATGGTGGAGCCGTTGCTTGCAAGGGGCTACACCGCCAACGTATTCGATATCCGGCAAGGTTTTGATAATCCCCGGGTGCAGTTCTTTCTGGGTGACCTCTGCAACCGAGAGGACCTGCACCCAGCTCTGAGAGGTGTGAGCGCAGTTTTCCACTGTGCATCACCCCCACCCTCCAGTAACGACAAGGAGCTCCTTTCTAGAGTGAATTTCACTGGCACCAAGGATGTCATTGAAACTTGCACAGAGGCTGGAGTCCAGAAACTCGTTTTGACCGGCAGTGCCAGTGTCATCTTTGAGGGCAGTGACGTCAAAAATGGAACCGAAGACCTTCCTTATGCCACGAAACCCATCGACTACTTACACGGAGACCAAAGTCCTACAAGAGAAAGCAGTTCTGGACGCCAGTGATCCTGAGAGAGGTTTCTTAACCCCAGCTATCCGTCCTCATGGCGTTTTTGGCCTAGGAGATCCCCAGTTGGTCCCCATCCTCACTGAGGCAGCCGAGAAGGACAAGATGAAGTTCACGATGGGGAACGGGAAGAACCAGCAAGATGATGATGACGGTAGATCTCACCTCCGTGGAGAAGTGGTCATCCATGGACACATCCTGGCTGCAGAGCACCTCTCCCAGGATGCAGCGCTGGGTGCGAAGGCATGTCACATCACCAACGACGGACCCATCCCTTTCTGGACGTTCCTTTCCGCATCCTTAATTATGAGGCCCCCAGATACCACATCCCCTACTGGGTAGCCTACTACCTGGCCCTTCTGGTGTCCCTGCTGGTGGTCAGTCCCATCATCCAGCTCCAGCCCACTTTCACACCAATGAGGGTTGCACTGGCTGGCACCTTCCGCTACGACAGCTGTGAAAAAGCCAAAAAGGTCATGGGGTCCCAGCCACTGGTCACCACGGAGGACGCCATGGAGAGGACCGTACGGAGCTTTCGCCACCTGCGGAAGGTCAAGCGAGGCACGCTGGAGACGGGGCCATCTCAGTGTGTGCTCTGGCCACTAACCTCTTCCCCTGTGCACTGATGAACTCATAGCCTTCAAATGAGTTCCTTCTGAGCTGAAGGCTTCTTGCTAGACAAATGAGACCATGCCCTGCTCCCTCCGTGCCTGCGAGGGTGACAAGCACAGCAGACATCCCTCTTTTCACAGCGTTGGGGTTGAATTTCTTAAAACAGGCAGCTTCCTATTACACTGCTTCGTCCTCCCTCTCTCTCTCTGTCTCTCTCCACTCACAATCCCCTCTCCCCACCCAAGGTTCCTGATCACCAGGACCACTCTGAAACCATCCTAGTATTTCATTCTAGTATTCTAGCACATAATCAAGGAACCTGTCAGAAACGATCCATTTGCTGATTGAGAATGGGAGACCAGAACGTTTACCATGCAAACCAGGACTAGAGTGGAAGCCGCTAGAGTCTGTTCCAGGAACCATGGCTTTGACAATATCCTAGAAGAAAAGCAGAAGTCGTAAACACATGAATGAGACTTCAGATAGACGTTTCACATCGACACAGTTTGGAGCAAAAAAAAAAAAAAACCACGAGGGCATAAATTACTATGATCCCTGTGCCCACCTGCAACGTGGTTTCATAAAACATTTCCTTTTATCAGCAGAGTCTTGTCACTTATAGTGACAGTGGTGATCTGGCTCAGTGATGTGCCATATTAGCCATTTAGCTCTCATCTAACATGGGCCATCAGGCTGGCTGATGGTAAGCCAAAGAAAAGGGAACCTCCTTAATCTTCTTTGAGTTTGTGCAGAAAATCATGAGATGAATCAGAGAGATCCCTGCACATCACACTCATAAAATCCATCAGGCGACTTCAAAAGGGCATAGCACATATAATAATCTGGGCTTTTCTATCTTCTGATGATTTTCTGTTTGTAGAATATAGTTTCTTATCCACCTAATTGAAATGTAATTTAAAGTTCTTTCCCTTTGTTGAAGGGCAGGGGGTACATGGGAAACTACAATGAAGTGAAAGTGTGCAAAAAAAAAAAAAATTTAGATTCTCAGAGTACACTCGGTAATGTCTATTGCAGGGCCAGGGATTTGCACTTAAAAAAACCTCCAAAGATCTTGGCATGCCGCCCGCCAGGAAGGGCGGGATCATGGCTGGCTGGTGGCAGGGAAATTTGGGGGTGTCAAGGATATCCGTGTCCCTTCCGATCCTGTTATCAAAGCAGCTGTCTGTCCTCCAGCACAGAGAACAAGATTGCTCTGACCTTGTCCTTCAGGGTCGTGTGTCTGACCAGAAATGGGGAAGCGAGAAGGTGCAGAATTCTCAGCCCGGGTCTCCCGCTAATTGACCATTAATGGTTTTCATTATTGACCCGGGAGCTCACTGAGGTAAACAGGGCAGGATGGAACCTCGTAAGTGGGTCTGCAGCCACATGAGCTGGTGCATCTTCATCAGGGGAGTGAGGGGAAGGACCGCTTGTCCCTTAGCACGTCAAGTGGAAAGATGGCGTCACGTTGGCAGCAGGGTCTCACAGAGACAGGCGCTCAGTCCCTCATGACAACCATGCTCACCTGACAGGGGAGAGCAGAGGGAGGCTTCTGAGGCTGGAGTTCATGCACAGTGCCCCGGGACGCCAACAGTGGTTTTTTTTTGGGGGGGGGGATGGGAGGACCAGGGATTGAACTCTGGGGCCCTTGACCACTGAGCCCCAACCCCAGTCCTTGTTTGTATTTTATTTAGAGACAGGGTCTCACTGAGTTGCTTAGGGCCTCGCTAAGTCGCCAAGGCTGGTTTTGAATTCTAGATCCTCCTGCCTCAGCCTCCCGTGCTGCTGGGGTTACAGGAGTGTGCCCGTGCACCCCACACTCCAAAAGCTTTTACTCACACGAGCCACGTAAGACCTGTTTACTTCCCAACTGATGTTATGACCAATCTCAAGTCACCGCTGCTGGGCAAATAAACCCAGGTGAAAGCCATCTGCTATTTGGGGCCATGGGACTGTTACCCAGAAGATGTGGCTGGTCTCTGAAATGCTATAGATGGCGGGAAACGTTGAAAGCCCCATGCTTTGGGCATGGCTTGCCGTGTCTTGTTTTTTTTTTTTTTTTAATCTCTTATTTTTATTTCTGCAAAGTGTTCCTTGGATTTCACGAAGGCCGGGGCAAAGACTTGCCAGGTTTTGCCATTAGCCACGGCCATCCTCAGAGAAGGCAGGGGCCACGTGGACACTTCTGTCTCCTGTGGGTCTGGGCATGTGATAAAGAAGGGAAAGAGGGAGGGAGGGAGGCGGAAGATGTCGTTGACAGAATGAAATTGCATTTTGCTCACTTTGAAACCTGGACAGAAACGGTCCTGTTTCCGTGCCGCAGAACCTGCCTTCTGTGTCCGAGGAGTCTCACAAACCCACCACTTCACACAGAAAGGGACGTCATTCCCGGACACCCCCATCAGAAAGGTACCATCAGTTCAGCCGTGGCGAGACAGCAGTCTTTTATTTGCAAGGATAATTTGAAGGCAGACGCGCGACGGGGTGTTAAGTAGGGAAGGATTTAACGATGAGGATTTAAATGATGCTTTCTCGTTCCACTGTAAAAAACAAAAGTGATTTCTACAGCTCTTGGGTCACTGTGATTTATGAAGGAAATCAGGTTTGATATTAGATGTCTTCAATAATCGGGAACTCACGATGGGTGTGTGCTTGTTGCAAAGGTCAGACTTCTGTACGCGCCTCACCTACTCTCAAGGTTAAGAGCTGTGGCCGTTAGCGCCAAAGTCTTGCTGAACTAATTTAGATTCGCCTGTGCCATAAAACCTGCCACGGCCCATCCGTCCCTCATCTGAACGCCGCAGACCCTTAGAGGGAGGTATTGTCCTTCCGTTATTCAACGGAAAGAATGGGAGGACAGAGAGGTTAGGCAACTTGCCCAGAGTCTCACAGCAAGAAAGCAGTTGGTTAAGATCCAAACCTGACTCCCGTGACTGTGGTCTGTGGATGGTTTTTGTTCCCTGTGCTGGATTCTCACAGTATGAGCGCCTGCCCCTGCAGAGGGAAACCCAGGGTGTTTTCTCCCTCTCCTAGGGCCAGGCTGAAGCCCACGTGTGAGAGAAGCCGTCATAAGGTACAGGGTGGGGCTGGGCACAGGGCAGTTGTAGGACAGAGTCTCAGGACACAGAGTTTATCTCCAGTGACCCTAACCAGAAGGAACTAGAAGGTCATGACTGTCTGCTGTCCTTGGTTTGGTCACTGTGCACTGGGCGCGGGAGGACCGTGAGGCTGAAGGAGCAGAGAGGAGTGCTGGGAACGGGCACGGTGGCATGAGTTGTGCCTGATCCCGTGGATTCCTAGAGAGCAAGGGGCCACGCTCAGAGCCAACACAAGAGACCTCGTAAGATCCTGCCAACACGCGGAGGGGGTCTGTGTGGCACAGCGTGGGGACACCCCTCCCACTTCTGCATTCGTCTCAGCATCTGGGTGGCATCTCAGGCCTGACAGTGCTGGGAACATGGGGCAGCAGCCTCTCCTGGTCACAGGTTGTCCCCAGCGGGCACCTCCTGAGAGCAGACTTCTGCACGGAGCTCGGGGGCAGGGGGTGGAGAAGGCAGTGCTGACCGCCAGCCGGCAGCCTTACAGGGCCCCAGAGGCAGCAGGACTCGGCAGGGGCTGGCGGTTCTCTGTGAGCAGGTGGGACTGTCCCCAGGGAAACCTGGCTGCAGGACCTCTGGGCCCAGCTGTCAGGCTCGGGGGACTTTGGGATCCACCAGAAGTTCTGTTTATGGTGTCTGGTGGAAACGTGGCTCTTCCAGACGTTAGGGGAGTCCCCAGATGCCCCTTTTCTTAGGACGGGTCTGGAGAGCGTGCAGTTTCAGGTGGGGCCACCTGATGGGGACGTTAGCCACCCAGTCCTGACTCCGTTCTCCTTCGGAAACAGTTACCGTCTCGGGTCTTGGCCCACTGTCTGCGCAGCACAGAATTGAAGGAAGGGACGCAGCGAGAGTCGGCAAGCCGCGGGGTCATTGCAAAAGCAGCGACAGACTTCTCCAGAGAGCGGGGCCCAGAGCCGGAGGCCGGTGGGGAATGGGCTGCTCTCTGTGCGGTCCCTGGAGGGTCCTCCCCTCCTCATCTCCTCCCTGTCCACGTGCTCCTCGCTATTGTTCACTGGCACCCCCTGCGTCCACGCGCCCATTTTAGTTTTTCTATTGGGTCCCCCACTTAAGGGCACTAGGGTGGAAGTGGCTGTCTGATTCGGTCCCCTGCTGATGTCCATGAGCACTTCTGTCAACTGGGGAGTTGACCTCGTTGGAAGACCCTCTCCTGCTCCTTTGTTCTGGCCGCGTCCCCTGTGTCCTTATTCGCCATCTGGCTCCAGCTGCCCACGCCCTTCTCCGTCTCCCTCGACTTCTCGTGCAGGCCCCCCTCTGTGAGATGGGGTGACAGTGACGGTGATGAGGCTGCTGCTCCCAGGTAGCCCGTGCAGAGCCCCGTGTGCAGAGTGCCCTGTTGATGCCAGCGTGTGTTATCTGGCGGTGGCGGTTTTAGTCCCATTGTTTCCCTGTTTGCTAGGACTTGTGTCACCCAGGACCAAGAGGACTTGGGGTGTCACGAGAGAGCAGGCTCCATTTCTTCCAGGAAAGATTCAGGGAGATGGACGACCCCCTGAGTTGGCTGGACTTCACTAGGTACCACCAGGGGGAGCCGTGGGCAATGCCGTTCTGTGCCTCCACTGGCCATCCAAGTGGCTAGAAGTGCTCACCCCCCAGGGCTGTTCCAGGATCGAATGTGGGGAAAGGTGTGAGACATTAATAATTGTAGGAGCCCTGGTGACTGCCTACTCAAGAGAGGCAGCCCAGAGAAACAGCGGCACACCTCTTGGACGACAGAGCCAGGCTGGAGTCCTGGCTCTGCTCTCTGTACCAACTGTAGCTGTGTGGCTCATGGCAAGTGCTAACCTCTCTGAACTTCTGTTTTCTTCCCCCGCAAACTGGCATAAGGACTGGAAGGATGTGAAAGGGTGAAATGAGATAGTTCCTGGGAGGCACCCAGAAATAAGCTCCCTTCCTCCTAAAGCACAGACCCCCCCCCCACTTTCTGAATTCATTCCTGTCAGGAGAGAGTCACTGGTTTGGGGCCATTTTTCTCCCAGACAGAACACCCTGATAGAGCCTCTCCTACACAGGGCTGGGTCGGCATCCACAGTGGCTCCTCCTCTGCAGGTGGCAGCAGAGGGGCTGGGACGCAGTGAATGAGGGTGAGCCGGGGGGGGGTGGAGAAGGACAGAGAGGTGTTGCCCAGGGCTCTGGGGTTCACTCTGCAATTGAGTGCAGCCGGGACCGAGTGTGTGTATGTGTGTGCATGTGTGCGTGCGTGTGTGTGTGTGTGTGCGTGTGTGCATGTGTGCATATGTGTGTGCGTGCGTGCGTGCGTGCGTGTGTAGGCATCAATATTTATATTGCTTTCTGAAATCCGAGAGCCCAGGATAGACTGTTTCAGGACCCAGCACAGGGGAGCCCCACCCTGTGCCTGTCCGCAGAGCTGGGGGTGGACCGTTGGCC